CCAGTGGTTCCCAAACTTATTTGGCCTACCGCCCCTTTCCAGAAAAAATATTACTCAGCGCCCCCTGGAAATTAATTTTTTTTAATTTTAATAGCAATTAAACAGAAAGATATATGTATTAATGTTTCTACCTTTTTCGTAAAATATAGTAAAGAAAGGTGTAAATTAGAAACATTGAAGTTTGAAATTATGAAACTATTTATTGAACTCAGAATAGAAAGGTAATACAAAAAAAGTTAAAACAAATGCACCTGTGGCCATCACCACCCTCCTGGATCGCTGCAGCGCCCACCAGGGGGCGGTAGCGCCCACACTTTGGGAATCACTGGCTTAGGGTATTTGGCAAGTGTGGATTGGTGGTCCAATGTATAGTCCATATAAGGTACCTGGTTAGTCACTCAGGTATTTCTGGGCTGCAGGTTACGTCATACCCAGCCCGCCAGTTGGGGGAAGGGAGGATATATCAGTTTTTAATATCAAATATCCAGTCAATTTTCAGATATCTCCTGTTTTAGTAAAATTTACTTTTCTATTGTTCATTTATTCAAATCAAGAACAAAGTAAAATTAATCTAATGCCATTAATTGATAAGTCTTTTGGTCCTGTCAAAACCTTGAAGTCCAAGAATACACCAGGGATTGAAAAAGTTTCCTATATTATTCATTGCAGCAAAGGGGAACACACACCTCGGGGAAGCAAGGGCAGTCTCAGTAACAGGGTGTTAGAAAGATTATAGTATCTGGGCTTTGACTGGATGATTTGGGAACAGTGTTGGGGGTGGCAATGGAAAATTTGGTCATACCTTTAAAAAAAGTCTCAGTATTAATAAGCATTGGTATTTCTGATTCATTTAGCCCAGGTATTGCAATCATGAAATACATCAGATATGAGTTGGAGAAACAGTTGAATAGGAAGTTCTCAATAAATGTATGTACATAGTTCCTCATATCCAATACCTTAAATGTAGTACATGATCAAAATGTTTTTCCTAATTTAAGAATGCAGTGCAAGTCTGAAAATATTTCACAACAGTTAATTTGAGCTCACTTAAACATTAAGTGACTAATACAAACCTTAGATGTCTTAGGACTATAGGAGCTACAAAATCATATCTTAATTAGTATCAATGGGAATTGAACTTTTGGAGAAACAGATTTAAGTTAATGTAGTAAAAAAAACACATCATGAGAAAGTTCAGATAATTTAAGGGTACAATAGTTTTTTTTAATTATTAATACATTTTTTATTGGCTTTAGAGGAAGGGAAAGAGAGATAGAAACATCAATGAGAGAGAAACATCTATTGGCTGCTTCCCGAACACCCCACCACTAGGGATTGAGCCCAAAACCTGGACAAGTGCAACGACTGGGAATTGAACCAGAAACCTCTTGGTGTATGGAAAGACACAATCCACACCAACTAGGCAAGGTTACAATAACTTTTTAATTTAAAAAAATCTATTGGAAATTCTTTGTAGTAATGAATTAGAGGAGAAATATATTTCAATAGAATTTGATAAAATTAACTCATTAATTATAAAATTTCTCAGCACCTTGAAGGAAATGTTTTTAATCTGATAAAAGGTATGTAACAAAAAGTGCAAACATCATGCTTAATTTGAAACATTAGAATACCGGGAAATTCCCTTTCAGTTGGAAACAGGTTAAGTATACCCACTCTCACTGTTCCTATTCAGCATTGTGCTGAATTGTACAATTGTGAACTATACCTAGAAATTTTACCTATACCTATAACAAGAAAAGGAAGGAAAAAATGTGGGGACTGCAAAGAAAAAAAAACTGCCATTGTTTGCAAACAATATTATCATACATAGAGAAAACCAAAAAAATCTACAAATTTTGAGTACAGCAAGGTTGCTAGATACAAACTCAATTCATAAAAATCAATAGTTATCTCTCATGAATAATTAGAAAATGTAATTTTAAAAAGATCCTTTAAGCCCTAACTGGTTTGGCTCAGTGGATAGAGTGTCGGCCTGCAAACTGAAGGGTCCCAGGTTCAATTCTGGTCAAGGGCATGTACCTCAGTTGCTGGCACATCCCCAGTGGGGGGTGTGATGAGGCAGCTGATCAATGTTTCTCTCTCATCGATGTTTCTGACTCTCTATCCCTCTCCCTTCCTCTCTATAAAAAATCAGTAAAATATGTTAAGAAAATAAAATTAATAAAAAGATCCTTTAACTGTATTTTATAGAATAAATCTAAAATGAAGCATGCAAAACCTTTACATACACACACACACCTTTCTATTCACTCTTCAAGGCGAATTCAGTTTCTTCGGTGAAGTCTGTCCTTCCTGCACTGTGTCCCTGAAGCCCTCAGCATTGACCTCCCTATTTAGTCATCATATTTCATTGAAATCACTTATCACTACCTTAGCCTCTTCTGCTCTTAGCTGAGCTTGGTAAGGACAGGAACTGTCATTCATCCTTGTAGCCCAGGTGACCATAGAGTTCTTGCAATAATAACAATGATAATACAATAATCTATAATAATAAAAGCATAATATGCTAATTAGACCAGACATCCTTCTGGACGACCTTCTGGACGAAGCTGGGGCTGCCAGGGAAGCCCAGATCCCAGGTGCCTGCCAGCAGCCGGAGGGAAGCCCAGGTCCCGAGTGCCAGAGGGAAGCCGGTGCTGGCAGCTGGGGGAAGGAAGGCCTACTCTTGCACGATTTTGTGCATCGGGCCTCTAGTAATAAAATAAGAACAAATAATAATAATATAATTCCAACAATATACAAGGTGCTGGTAAGTCCTTTACATAAATTGTTTTTATTCATTTATTAAGTAAAAGTGACACAGCAAATGTTTGAATGTAATCATATCATGGATGGTTAACATTTTAAACAGCGAAGAAGAAAGGAGAGAACATAAGCAAGACCATGACTGCTGTCCTGGAGGTGTGGTCCCTCTAGCAGGAGAATGGGAAATCAGATTGGGAATGTAGGTGGGACAGATTGTGGAAGGCCTTGAATGCCAGGCTAAGCAGTTGGAATTTTTTTTTTCTATAGAAAATGGGAGCAATTGAGAAATTGGTCACATTATCAAATGACTGTCTTAGTAATACTGAGGCAGTAACTGAAGTATGGTAGCAATCATCTCAGGTAGAAACTATAGTTTAACTTTAACCCTGCTGTTTGGCTTCTGTACTTATTTGCTTTGTTTAACAATAGAAAAGTTATTTTGATTTTCTGAATTATATAAATCATCCCATTCGACTGAATGCCTTATTGATTGTGATCTTACTGGTTTTATTTTATTTTATTTTTTTTAAAATATATATTTTATTGATTTTTTACAGAGAGGAAGGGAGAGGAATAGAGAGTTAGAAACAT